GAGAAAAACGGAGAAAAAAACAAAAAAGAAGAAAATGAGAAAACCCAAAAAAATATGAAGGACGACGGCAAGACGCCAGAAATTGAAAACGGAGGAGCGAACGTGTTCGCAAGGAGCGGGATATTGCAGAGATCACCAGTGTTGAACCTGGAGGCAACAGCGAGTTCCAACAGCAGCAGTAAGCCCCAAGGTGAGCAGCAAGGACACCAAGGAGAGCTAGGTCTTATGCTAAGCCAGGTGTTCACACCGAAATCCAGCAGTAGCACACCCCAAGAAGGATTGCAGCTTGGGAAGACCAAATTGATGGAGGTCAGGAGGAGGATCAATGAACTCCATGACTTCATCAAGGATAAGAGCAACGTCCACAAGGCAATAAAGGAAATGGTGACGGGCATCAAATCCGCCATTATTGCTGCCGAACGTGAACAGGATGCGCTGAGGACGAGGTCCGTAACTGCCGAAAGGGCACTGATCGAGGCCAAGGAGAAAGCAGCAGCTGAAATACAGGAGACGCCAAAGGGACCTCGAAATCCACGCTCGGAGAAGAGGAAAAGGGAAACTCCAGGAGAGGAAGAGGAGTTGAAAAAAGTCAAGAACGACAAAGAAGACAACAAGGAGGAAGGCTGGCGTACCGTCGAGAAGCCGAAGGAGAAGTGGAAAAAACGGAAGGAAAAAGACATGAAGAAGAAAGCTGAACAGAAGAAGGTGATACCCAGGACTCGTCGGGAGCGAAGTAAGGGCGATGCTCTGATCGTCGAAGCTAAGGACAAAACGTCGTATGCAGCACTCCTCCGGAAGGTACGAGAGGATCCGGAGTTGAAGCAACTAGGAGAGAACGTGGTGAAAACCAGGCGAACCCAGAAAGGCGAGATCCTCTTTGAGCTGAAGAAGGATCCTGCTATCAAGAGCTCAGCCTTCAAGGAGCTCGTCGAAAAGTCTCTTGGCGAAGGGGCGAGCGTAAGAGCTCTATCCCAGGAGACAGTGGTCGAGTGCAGGGACCTGGACGAGATCACCACAGAAGAGGAGCTAAGAAGTGCGTTGAGAGTGCACTGCGATCTGGGAGATGTCCCGATGTCAATCCGCATGAGGAAGGCGTACGGCGGCATGCAAACGGCGGTTATACGGCTTTCGACAGCTGCAGCGAATAAGCTGTTGGAGACGGGCAAGGTCAAGGTTGGCTGGTCATTGTGCTCGCTGAAAGCCACTCCTCGGGTTACCAAGCAATTGGAGCGATGCTTCAAGTGCATGGGATTCGGTCACCAGGCGAGGAACTGCAATGGCCCTGACAGATCTGATCTGTGCAGGAAATGCGGAGAGAAAGGCCATATTGCAAGAGGCTGCACGAAGCATCCGAGGTGTATGCTCTGCAAAAAAGAGGACGGTAACGATCATACGACGGGAGGCTTCAAATGCCTAGCATACAAAAAGGCGATGGCAGGCCAACAGTAATGGAGGTAACCCAAATAAACCTCAATCATTGCGACATTGCTCAGCAACTGTTGTGGCAGTCGACAACAGAAACAAAGTGCGACGTTGCAATCATTGCGGAACCGTATCGAGTCCCTCCCGATAACGGTAACTGGGTTGCGGATAGAGCTGGGATGGCAGCTATACAAGTTATGGGCAGATACCCCATTCAAGAAGTGGTTGCGAGCTCATACGAAGGCTTCGTCATCGCCAAAATCAACGGAATCTTCATGTGTAGTTGTTACGCACCCCCCAGATGGACGATTGAGAAGTTCTACAAGATGCTTGATGGACTTACCGAAGAGCTGGTCGGACGACGACCGGTAGTCATCGGAGGAGACTTCAATGCTTGGGCAGTGGAGTGGGGAAGCAGGTGTTCCAATGCAAGAGGGCACAGTCTGCTGGAAGCTCTGGCAAAACTGGAAGTTATGCTGGCCAATAAAGGCACCAGCAGCACTTTTCGCAGAGATGGCCGAGAATCCATTATCGACGTTACTTTCTGCAGTCCGTCGCTGATGGCAAACATGGATTGGAGAGTGTGCGAAGGATATACCCATAGCGACCATCAGGCGATACGATATGGCATCGGTCAACGGAATACTGTGGCAGTACGGAGGACGAGAACTTGTGACCGAAAGTGGAAGACGAAAGCTTTCGACAAGGATTTGTTCGTTGAGGCACTTCGTGTGGACGGGAGTCCCGTAGATCTAAATGCGGACGAGCTGACAGAAACGTTAGTGAGAGCATGTGACACGACCATGCCGAGGAAACTGGAGCCAAATAACAGACGGCGTCCAGTCTACTGGTGGAACGAGGCACTTAGTACTCTCCGCGCTAGTTGTCTCAGAGCCAGAAGACGTGTTCAGAGAGCAAGAACGGAAGCAGACAGAGAGGAACGAAGAGAAGTGTTTCGAGCGGCCAGGGCCGCTTTTAAACGAGTGATTAAGCAGAGCAAGTCGAACTGTTTTAAGGAGCTGTGTCAAGACGCTGATGCCAACCCCTGGGGCGACGCATACCGAGTCGTGATGGCGAAGATCAGAGGTCCAACGATGCCCGCTGAAATGTGCCCAGAGAAGCTGAAAGTCATCGTGGAAGGACTTTTCCCGAAGCACGACCCAACAACCTGGCCACCTACACCGTACGGAGAAAGAGAGGGAGATAACGTCGAAATCACCAACGAGGAGCTCGTAGTAGTGGCGAAAGGATTGAAGGTGAAGAAAGCTCCCGGTCCGGATGGAATCCCCAACGTAGCGTTGAAAGCGGCAATCCAGTCATCCCCGGACATGTTCAGGATGGTGCTGCAGAAATGCCTGAACGAGGGTCACTTCCCTGACAGGTGGAAGATACAGAAGCTAGTGTTGCTGCCGAAACCAGGAAAACCGCCGGGGGATCCAGCATCATACAGGCCTATATGCCTGCTGGATACACTCGGAAAACTCTTGGAGAGGATCATCCTAAACAGGCTGACGAAATACACGGAGAGTGAGCACGGATTGTCGGAGAGGCAGTTCGGATTCCGGAAAGGGAGATCGACGGTGGATGCAATTCGGACAGTGGTCGAGAGAGCTGAAAAGGCGTCCAAACAGAAGCGGAGAGGAGATCGATATTGCGCCGTCATAACGATCGACGTCAAGAATGCGTTCAACAGCGCCAGCTGGGAGGCCATCGCCGAAGCACTGCATAGAATGAGGGTCCCTGACTACCTGTGCAGGATCCTGAGGAGTTATTTCCAGAACCGGGTTCTGGTCTACGAGACAGACATGGGACAGAGATCGATTAGGATCACAGCGGGAGTTCCACAAGGCTCCATCCTTGGTCCAACGCTCTGGAACGGGATGTACAACGGCGTGCTAACGCTGAAACTGCCCAAAGGAGTTGAGATCGTTGGCTTTGCGGACGACGTCGTCTTGACGGTAACAGGCGAGACGCTGGAAGAGGTGGAAGTGTTGTCAACCGAGGCAATCGACATGATTGGTAACTGGATGAAAGGAGCGAAGCTGCAAATAGCCCACCACAAAACGGAAGTGTTATTGGTCAGTAACTGTAAAGCGGTACAGCGGGCGGAAATCACCGTCGGGGAGCACACCATAGCCTCGAAGCGTGTGTTAAAATACCTGGGAGTGATGATCGATGACCGGCTAAACTTCAACAGCCACGTCGAATATGCCTGTGAGAAGGCTTCGAAGGCCATCAACGCGATAGCTAGAATCATGCCGAACAACGCTGGTCCCAGCAGTAGCAAGAGGCGTCTTCTGGCCAGCGTGTCATCATCGATACTGAGATATGGAGGTCCAGCCTGGGTTCCAGCGCTGGAAACGAAGCAGAACCAAAGGAAACTGAGCAGTACGTTCCGGCTCATGGCCATGCGAGTCGTGAGTGCGTACAGAACCATCTCGTCGGAAGCAGTATGCGTTATCGCCGGTATGATCTCTATCGGCATCACCCTGGCGGAGGACAGTGAGTGCTACAGGCAGAGAGAAGCCGGAAGAGTACGGAAAGTTGTGAGAGTGGAGTCATTGGCTAAGTGGCAACAGGAGTGGAACACGACGGAGAACGGTAGATGGACACATAGACTAATACCGATTCTTTCGACCTGGGTGAACAGAAAACACGGAGAAGTCAATTTCCACCTAACGCAGTTCCTGTCTGGCCACGGCTGCTTCAGGAAATACCTGCATCGGTTCGGACACGCAGCGTCACCCCTCTGTCCGGAGTGTGGCAACGTCGATGAAACGCCGGAGCATGTGGTCTTTGACTGTCCAAGGTTCGAGGCAGTGCGAACGGAGATGCCCGTCCTTAACGTGGAGAATGTCGTCGATGAAATGTGTCGAGAGGAGGACTCTTGGAATGCCGTCAGCAGGGCAGTCACACAGATTATGTCAGAGCTGCAGCGTAAATGGAGAGAAGAGCAGCGATCTAGCAACGCCAGCTAGCGCTGAGAGTACGACAAGTGCATGAGCACAGCCACCCCCCGAAGTAGTCGCTTCACAGTGGTCCCGGGGGGATCCAGGCAGAGGAGAGAGTAAGGAATGGGTTTTAGTGGAGCTGCACTAGGCAACTAGTGGATACCACACCGTGCCACCTTCACTACAGGCCAGGCTTCTTGAAACTTTCCTAAACCTTACTATAAAAAAAAAAAAAAAAAAAAAAAACACACACACATACACACACACACACACACACACACACACACACACACACACACACACACACACACACACACAAACACATCATGACATTAGACAAGAAAACATCCAGACATTAAAACTGTCGTACGAATGAGAGGAAGACATAGACAAAGACAGGCCAGCGATTACCGAACCATAAAGATTTTCAAGAAGATTATGATTAATCAATAACGTGAATCCGGTGTTCAATTGATCACCATAGACTAATCCGTCCGGCATCGTAGTCACTTGAAAATTTTTCTCATCAAACCCGATCATTGAAAAAAAAAAATAATAATAATCTTTCTAGGTATCAAAAACTTAAAAAAGAAAACGCCGATAAACTTGTGTATTTAGGATCTTTTATTGACAAACCATTTACTTCTCTTTAGTTCAACAAATAAAACATATTTTAAGTGATTTCAAAGTTCAAAAAAATCTGATGTGGCATTGAAAAAGAATTTTTGAATGTTTTGAGTTCTAAGAAATGAAAAAAAAATTAAACGTTCAGAACATGAGAACAGGCTTCGCTCATTTCTTAAGAGCTTGTTCAATCAATTAGACGCAACAAAAATGGTTTCGTTGCTGAAAGCACCGCTTTGCTGAGACGACGTTGATGTTTCCTGTACATCGGCGCCCAAGTTGGCCGCAAGTCCTCCTCGATGTTTTTTATGTGTATTAGTTGGACGATTATTTCTCTTATCAGTACCAATGTCCAGTACAACAGAGCTACCAGCCAAGCTTGTTTGTGCCGTAACAGATTCGCTTGTGCTTTTCGATAGTGGTTTCTGAGCACTTGATTGCGAAGCTGATGTTACATTCCGACCTTGCATTTTATTCGGCTTTGTGCGTTGTTGCACAGAGCCTGGCGTGTAGAGGGGACTTATCACATTTCCTACAGCTTTCGTACGCCCTTCTCGGAAAACCTAACAAAGGTGGAATAAGCAAAGTGTTAGAGACAAACATGGAGATTAATTTGTACAATTACCATCCGTTGACCAGGCTTCATGTATTCGGGATTTTTGATGAATCTAAAACGTACAACTGCTTTGTCACCTGTTCGAAGACACTCTTTAGACATTTGTAGGATTTGTGCTGTTTGCCTGATACTGCCACAATGTACCATAGCTGACCAACGTCCATATTTGCTAGATATTGTTGTTGGGTGATGCAAAACTAATATTTCACAGTCGAACTCCCAACATGCCTGCAATCGTAGATAAAAGAAATAACTGGTTATTTCATCCAATAGGAATATAATCAAAACGAAAACAAGTAACGTCATTGGAGTATAAATATGATAAAATCGAAAAAGAGTATTTAAGCAATTGTTAAATATATGGAGTGCTATTTCACGATTGTACGACTTTTCCCCGAAAACCAGTGTTCTTTCGATTGGTATTCAAATCGCTCTGATTCCTGATAGCGGTGTAAAACAGCTTTCAGTGCGCTTATACTAACAACGGCTATTCAACTTTCATTTGAATTTCACCTCAATGTTCGGCCTGTGTGCCACTCATGAAAGCATGAGACTTCGTACCTATAGGTAAGTCATTTGTTTTGGTAAATATTTTCACAATTAATTTAGTGTAGTGTATAATCACATCATCTTAATAATTTAAATTGTTGTATTTGGATTTGAAATCTCCGGAAGGAACACTAGAAAATGTATAAAATAAACGTGCAATTACGCCCAAATCTCGAAGTTTTTCGGATATAACCGGTGAAGAAACAAGCGATTCAACAGTAGGATGCCCCAATTAGTGGGAAGAAGAGTCCGCCCTCTATTTACGAAATATTAAAGATAGGGAATTGGCATAACCACTCTCCCCATCCATTTTGCTTCAATTGAGTGCCCTGGTGGATTTTTCAATGTAATGGAATGAAAGTTAAGAGAAAAATTAAGCAAAGTTCTCACCCGATACGTTGCAAAAGAATCCATGACATGACGATGATTTCGAAGAGCTCCCATAGATATGTTGCATACGACCTCAGCGGGAAAGGAAAGCTTTTTTGGCGAGCTTGCCGATTGTGTCCGGGGCCGTTGTGTGGGTGTGTTTTCTTGTCACTCTGGCGATGGATGCCAAGTATCACCCCACACTGAACCAATATGACATATTCCTCATATTCCTATCGGTCCCATAGCAGTTTTTATCAAAACTGAGTTTTACAATGCAAATTCATCAACAGGAGCTAAATTTGACTCAAAACAACGGACTCGCAGGTTGCAGGAAAAAGCTGCTGAAAAAGCCAAACGCAGCAGAAAACGACGAAAACAACAACAAATCCACACCAACAGTACCAAAAACATCATCCAAGGAAATGAATGAAGCCGCTACAACAACGCCACCTCCGACAACAACACCATCAACAATAGCAACAACACCAATAACAACAACAACGCCACCTCCGACAACAACACCATCAACAATAGCAACAACACCAATAGCAACAACAACGACAATAACAACAACAACAACAACACCAATAACAACAACAACAACAGCAACAACAACGACTACAACGACAACAACGACAACAACGACGACGACGACGACAACAACGACAACAACGACAACAGCGACGACGACGACGTGGAATTCGTTCTGCATTCCGATACTGCTGATAATGGCGACGCGATTGAATAAAGAAGACCTTCTCGAATGGTTGCAGGCACGCAAAATTGAAGTTCCGGAGATGGCAACCATTCGCCTTCTGCGAGCTTTGTACGACAGCCATCGGGCTAATCGTGTTGAGAACCATGAGGAAGATGGCAATGGAGGAGAAGGAACAGGAGACAACGAGGAGGAAGAGGATGCGCTCGACGAAGAGATCCGGATTCTCCAGAAGAAAAAACAAATCGCCGACTTGCGCCGGGAACTGGCTGGCAACGAGTTATTGTTTGTTCGACCACCAGAGTATCAGAATGTAAGGCAATGACGTTTATATAAGGTCTGGGCCAAAGGGGTTATTGGTGTTAGTGAAATGTGCAATTGTTTAGTGGTGTTCGTATTTTATTGCAATGTTTATCTTTTTACACGAAACAGCTGTTGGCAGTGACGTATTTCTATCTGTTCTCAGTATGTTGGCAGTGACGTATTTCTATCTGTTCGCAGATGTTCAGCAATGTTTACAACATTTTTGCTTCTAATACCAGCAAGCTCCCTGGTGGCCCAGACCTTATGTAAATGTCATTGGATGTAAGGTGCCTTGCCCCATCGTTTGCTGGTAGTGAGTCGTATGTTCCCGAGAGATGGCTGAATGACTTCAAACGTGCTTGTGATTCTGTGGGAGGAGATGCAGATTTTCGGCTAAAATGGTAAAGGACACATTTCCGCTCGTTGTACAGAGCCTCGTCGAGAGCCAGGATCATGTTTCCGTTGTGGCTCTGCTGATCACATCATCAAGAATTTCCCTAAAGCAGCACCACGCGACAAGGATGAAGTGGCACTAGTAGACGACTTCCGTCGGGACAAACCGGCTGATAATCCCAACAATCAATTGAACGCAGCTCTTTCCGAGTTGAATTTGATAATCAACATGGTTCTAGGTCATCAATAAACGGATCATTTATAAAAGATGGATCAATTGTGGGTTACATGGACGATGTTACCTTGGCCACTAATACGATTTCCGAGCATTTGGACTTATTAGGACGAGTTCTTAAAAGGTTGGCAGAGTTTCGATTGGAGATAAAAATTAAAAAATGCCAGTTCTGTTTCACAGAAATTGAGCTTTTGGGTTTTACGGTTAGCAATAAGGGGATCAAACCGAACAACTCACATCTGGAGGCCATTAAAAGTATGCCATTGCCGTCAGATGCCAGACAGATGAGTAAGCGTCTTGGACTTTTTGCGTATTTCCGTCGTTTTGTTCCATCTTTTTCATCTATTTCGTTACCATTACGCAACTTAATAAAGCCTGGTTCTAAGTTTAAGGTTGACGAACAATGCAAACAGGCGTTTTTTACATTACGTGATAAGCTAGTTTCTACTCCCGTTTTGGCACTTTACAATCCTTCGCGTGAAACCGAATTACATTGTGATGCCAGTTCCGAAGGCTTTGGTGGAATATTGTTGCAGAAACAAGATGATGGCAAGCTACATCCGATTACTTATTTTTCTAAACGTACAACTTCTGCAGAATCTCGTTACCATAGTTTCGAATTGGAAACATTGGCTATAATTTATTCTTTACGTAAGTTCCGAATTTACCTAGAGGGTATTCCATTCCGGATTGTTACCGATTGCAATTCCCTAGCTATGACGCTGAACAGGAAAAGTATTAATGCCAAAATTGGGCTTTAGAGTTAGAAAACTATCATTATTCTATTCAACACCACAATGGCAAGTTTATGAATCACGTTGATGCATTAAGCCGTATTCCCACAAATTTTGGTCAGTTTGTTTCTGCTGTCAGTCCAGATGATATTGACTTCCAATTGCAATTGGCACAAGGGCGTGACCTAACAATTCTCAAATTAAGAGAACAACTGGAAAAAGGATTAGTTATGAATTTTGCCTTGGATGATGGATTAGTTTACCGCTGTTTACCGAATGCAAAACTTCTGTTTTACGTTCCTTCTGAAATGGAAGGTGGGAAACTGTGTCATATGGGTATTTCGAAAACTTTGGATCAATTGAAAATGCATTATTGGTTTCCGAAAATGAAGGACAAAGTTGAAAATTATATTAAAAACTGTGTCCGTTGTATTATGTATTCTGATTCAAATTCCGATGGGGGTCGTGTTTTACATAGCATTCCGAAGAAACCTGTTCCGTTTGATACTATCCACATTGATCTAAAAGGAAACATATCTTGGTTGTTGTTGATGCTTTTACGAAGTTTGTTAAGTTGTATGCTGTAAATTCCACAAGTACGAGAGAGGTGTGTGCCTGTTTGGATAGATACTTCGAATGTTATAGTCGCCCTCGTAGAATTATTAGTGACCGAGGATCGTGTTTTACTTCATTGGAATTTGGAGCCTATTTGTTAGAAAACAACGTAGAACACGTAAAAGTTGCTACAGCGTCTGCTCAGGCAAACGGACAGGTAGAACGTGTCAACCGTGTCCTCAAATCTATGTTAGGGAAACTCTCTGAACCAGTTCAACATGGTGATTGGGTTAGAATGCTGACTAAAGTGAAATTCGCTATGAATAATTCTGTTCAGTCGAGTACGCATCAAACTCCTTCTGTCCTTCTGTTTGGAGTCCATCAAAGAGGGCGCGAAGTCGATGGTCTGTCTGAATATTTGGAAGATAGGTCAAATTCGGAAGTAGTTCGGGATTTAACTACAGTACGTGAAGCTGCTTCTCGTCATATTGAAGACTCTCAGAGTAAGAATGCAGCCTCTTTTGATAAAAGACATACAACTCCAAATACTCTGAAGGTGAATACGTTGTAATACGTAATGTTGACACTATTATTGGGACCAACAAGAAATTTATTCCTAAGTATCGATGGCCTTACCGTATACACAAAGTACTACCAAATGATCGTTACGTAATTCGGGATATTGAGAATTGCCAAATATCCCAACTTCCTTATGATGGCATAATTGAAGCTGCTCGAATTAAGAGTTGGGCAGATTGGAGGACCCCTTGTAAAGAAGAGATGCACTGATGGACAAAGCAACACTTGTCAAACTTTATGTAGTTTTGTGTTTGTGTATGTGTTACTAACCCCGAGTGAGGCGCGGGTAATCGTCTTTTATAACTTATGAATGATCGAGACGATCATTGGTCAGGAATGAACGAGTTGTAGTGTTTTGAGTATTTTGGTTTTGTGTGTTGTATAAATATTTACGATTTATGGCTAATTGGCTGCACTATGTTTGAGTTGTCAATCTCTGTGTTCTACAAGTCTGATTGCGCTTCGTTTTCCTGTATGTTTGAGTGTATGTGTGTAAATTATGAATGTGGAAAGTAGGTATGAAAGCAAGTTAGAAGGAAAGCCAGAGCAATTGTAATTCAACAACCGACACGTTCGGAGACGAATAAAAAACCGGGAAAAGTTAAAACCGCGTGTTTTGTTTCGTCATCGTCTCTAAACTATTAACCCTTTCCGCACAGAAAAACCTGACCCACCACTCCTATGCGCCCGCCTGTCGTAAGGCTTACGGAACAATCTGCAGCCGGTGACAGACGCTTTTTGAAGGCACGCCTGCGGGACCCTAAAATCATGGATACTGTGCGAACCTATCTGG